TGAAAGTTCTCCAAACATCTATGTCTGACATGAATACATTGACAATATCTCAGTCAATACAAAAAGTGGAGCTGTATGGTTGGGTGGCAAGAAAAATGCCTTTCCTAAAAGAGATTCATCTTAAATCTCATATGAAAGGTGCTGCAGACATGTGGCTGAATATTTTTAAGGTCTTACCAAGGTTTTATGGCCTGATTGACCCTCTGAAATGCTCACTTGCAAAATTTTACTTGAGGTGCAGGCCCAACAGAGCACCACACAGTCAGCACCATCCCAGGTGGCAAGCATGGTAGTGGAAGAATCATGTTATGGGAATGATTCTTGCCAGCAGGACCTTAGTGATGACTGAACAAAGTACAGGTGAAAGCAAGAGGAAAACTAGCCTAAAGCACCCAAGAATCCAATACTGTGCAAAAACACTACGTTTCAGTGGATACTAAAGAACAAGGGCAAAGCCACATCAAAGTAGCCCTGCAAGAAGAGAGTGAATGTCCTTAAGTAGCCCACTGTAATGGAACACCAACAGCAGTGTAAGGGGAAACCAGGAGGTGTTATACCAATGTAGTATATAACCCACAGTTGGGAGCTTCAGTTCTTCAAACAGGTAAGAAAAGAGGTGGGAGCTCCAAGATGGGAGTAGTCCTGCAGACACAGGGATGCAGGCTGAAGAATTCAATCACAGTAACTAAACTGAGTATACCAAGTTAGAGAAAGGTAACAGCAGTCCTGACTGCTGCTGTGTCAGGTGTGCTAGGTAGGTTATTGAGAAGTGTCCTTGTTCAACAGGATTAGCCTGGTTGTATATACAATATACAGTTCTGCTGTGGCCAACAGGAAGATAACTCACAATGTTTTGAGTAACGAAGGGATCCCGATGTGTGATACAGGCTGGTTTATTGAAAAGGACGTGGTTGTACAAGGAGCAAAGGGGTGATGTAGCTGACAGATTAACCAGGAAGCAGGACTGGATTGGGAATGCACAGACTGCCTGGTAAGCAGGAACCGGACCAGGAACAGAAGCGGGACTGTGTAAAAAAGCAGGATGAAGCTCAAATACAGAACGCACAGATCAGGGCAAAGTGAGACTGAGAGCAGCTCAACAACTAAGCCCCGAGCTATGGTTCTTAAATACTGTGCTCCGTGGGGTTCACAGGCAGCAGGTGGCTGGGAGAGCCTGCTGAATCACGTGTGTGTAGAGCCAGGTGGGGTTGAGACCGGGGGGCTGAGAGCTCAGACAATGTACAATAGGTTGAATAAGAGCAATGGAGAGAAGAGATCAAGGCAGAGTTTCCTCACCTATGAAGAAGAGTTAAGGTTTTTACAAATACAGGGGGTTTGGGGGGTTTCTGGACCCTTCGGCTGGTTAAGGTAACTGAGAATGCACCTGAAATGCATAAAACAGCTGGTTATAAAAGATTCTTGGGGTATGGGGTTCCAAAAGCTAAAAGAAAGGCAGCCAGGAAAAGAAAGTCCTGTCTCTGTGCCAGAACTGAGAAATTTCCACAGGAGGGACAATACAATTATCAATAAACCACAAGGTTTATTGAAGCGCTGGGGACACCAGTGAAGCTCAGGGTGTCATCGAAGGCTAGATGTCCAGGTCTATAGGGAGCGTGGCTCTAGGCCTTTAGTGTAGCAGACTTTGTTGTAATAGTCTCCTGGAGCAATGAAATACTGACACTCTGACAGGAAAATCCAGCCACAGGTCAGCTAAATACCTACTGTAATAGAAATTCACGTAGCTGGAGAACCACAGTGGGTTGCCTCACTCTCAGATGTTTGAAATCGAGAGATCTGTACTTCCTGTATTATTTCCTCTTGGAGGTTGGATTTGCTCTCAATGGATCCTCTGATATACAATGAAAGAAAGCTATCAAATAACCATGTCTACCATTTCAATTTCTTCTGCTGAGATTTCAGTCTTTATGGAGAAAGTGGAAGATCACAAAATGCTAATTCTTTTGTATTTAAATTCCTAATTTAATTATGTAGTATTGAATTACAATCAACATCTGCATTTGGTGGTCTGTAGCACACTAACACTATAAACTGGCACTGTATACCCATTCCTAACCACCTCCAGGTGACTTAACTTAAAATAACATAAGTTCCCAGATTAAATTAGGCCATTTGACCCATCTACTGTAGCTTGTTTGGTGCTTGCACCTAATTGATCCCAAGAACAATTATTCCTTTATTGTTTGAAGAAGTCAGAGTATTGTATCTACTTCAATTACATGCTAGGATAGTTCCTGTCAGTCTCCCTTTGTGCAAAAAAGTTTATCTTAGTTTACACTCATGTTCTCCACTTCATGTTTCACTGTTTTATCTAAAGAAGACTATTAGGCTGACTTTCTCAATGTTTTTGAATACTTGAATCAGGCCTTCTTGAAGTCTTCTCATTGAAGACTCAGAAGAATCAAGTGGACAGCAGCCTGCCAGAACTGCATCTATTTAGACTACAACCACAAATGGAATCCTTACCCTGTATTTGCCACAGTTTTCTTTTAGTTTATTCCATTAATTTTGTCAAATTCGAAATTCCAGTATTCCAGTTTACAATTAGTCAACTTTAACTCTTCTCATTTTTACAGTTAGGGAATGCTTTTGAATGTAGGTTGATAGTAAATTCTAGTCTTAACTTATAAAAACAGATTTTACACCTTCTTGGGTAGAAAGCAGCCTTTTCAAACTGATCGGTCAAAATATTAAATTTAAAACATATTCAAGTTCTTCTTCGTTCAAGTGATTGTTTCTAGTTTTTTTTAAGAATGTTAGTAATTAAGCTTTCATTTATTACTGGATAGGGACTCGTTTGACTTCATGTCCTGTAATACTAGATTATGTTAAAAGCATTTTGCAGTGGTGTTTCATGTTATTTAATGGAGCTTAAAACAAGAGTTTAGGAGAAGGTCAAACCTTAATCTCGCCCACGTCTGCCTACCTACATGTAAATATCATGCTTTTTTCTTCCTTAAGCATTTCATTTTCATATCCCACCCTCCACCCTATGCTTGCCTTTACAGGACTTTAAGAAGGCCAGATGATGTAAAAAAGTATAATTTCACCACTGTCAACAGCCCTATTTGTACGAGCATTGCCAAGGGATCTTTACTGAGCCAGCAGCAGGAACCTTCCTTCATGTGAAGAACACCACCTCCTACGTCATAGTGTCCTCCCCCACTACACTGTGGCAATGGCTTGGAAATCCTGGTCCAGAAGGAAGAGTGCCACCTACTGGTACAGCAACACCACTTAAAACAGCAACCTGCTTTTCCCTTCACTCCCTAAAGGACCCCCAAAGCACTTCACAAAATGCTTTACGCTGAAGTACAACATCCATCTGCGTGATGCATTGGAGTGTATTATGTGCCAGCACCCCTATTACAGAGCACATCAGACAGAGAAGGAGGTACTTTGGATAGGCGTGTCTGTGCAAACCCAGAATGCATTTTAGTTAGGATACTGCTATTAACACTCATGTTCTTATGGACAGTGCTCCACTACCTTTGAATATCTTAAAATGGAAAAGATTACAAAAAAGTCTATTCAGTTAATATTAACTTGACATACTGTAACTTCTACGGTACGTTTCCAAACAAAAGGAAGCCGTTTGGCCCATCTAAGTTGTTTGGTTGCTTGAAATGAATTGAATCAAGGATCAATTATTCATTTCTCAAGTGAAGCCAGAGTATCCACTTCAATGACATGTTTGGATAGTTCATATCGTACTCCTTTTGTGCAAAAAAAAAGCAAAGGAGATTCGAATATAAAAGGAGCACTCTTGTAGTCATTGTTCAATTCACGTTCTTATCGAAGTTTGACATTTACGGTACATAATCATTTTAAAATATGAGTGAATGACGTATATAGGAAATCATCCGACACAGGGATTCCACCCATCCATTTTCTAACCACTTTACAACAATTCCAAGCACTTTATAATACAGGGTCTCAGTCAGAAAGCTACAGATGGGTTTTGAACGCGCTCCTTGAAGCATTTCTGCTTTCAAGACAGATTGACAGTGCGGGAGTGGGCGGGGCCGCGGCGAGCACCGGTAAAAGGTCCACGCCCCTAACTGAGGGACGGAAGCGCCGGTGAGAGGTTAGCAGGGACCAAAAAGCGTGAAAAATGCAACACAAAGGCATAAGGAAAGGTGTACCGCTGTGCATCGCGACCGAAAAACCAATAGCACAGAGGTGACCAGACTGGACTTACGCTATTTAGTGGTGTCTGGTAGAGCAGGGCCCGTAAGGCTAAAAATAAAACAAAAACTCGGTGCGTGAAAAAAGTGTGTCCGCGACTGTCGGCGGAAAAATACTCCCTTTCCGGGAGGTGGACCTGTTCCTTTATAGGACCAGTGTCCAGTGTGCCTTTACAGGACCTGCCCAGTTCTGGCTTGTTGTCTAGAAGCTGGGACAGCTGGGACTACGAAGGCGAGGCGTCACCCTTCCTCCAGGACTCCGCCTCCACGTTGAGCACGCCCCCCGCGTAATGACGCTACAGCAGTTTAGTCCTTAAGAGTTATTGCAACTTTTTACACAAGGAAACTTTCACAAGCTGGTGAATGTTAAGGGACTTACAGTAACTTAGAGCTAAGGACGTTTGACACAGAAGGAAGGAAGAAATCGGAGAGAAACCGGAGTTCTTGGTTTTGTCACTTTAAGATCATTACATGAATACAGCGTCCTGGTCAAAGAAAAATCTAATCTGTCATAATGTATGACAGAGGGAAAAGCATTTTTAATTTTTGTAATTAGCTGCTGGCTTTGTCCTTCCCATTGTCTTTAATATATACATGTTTCATTGTTGTCAACAGGTGCCTAGGTAGGACTTCAGTGATGGACCAACTGCTTCATCTTCTCCAAGTACATCTCTCAATGCAAGAATATAAAAACTCCTTATAAAGAAGCGCACGCAATCAAAACCACATAAATTGTTCTGCCTAATCTCATAAGGAACAATTCGTAGGAATTCTAAACTTCTCCAGTTGGCCTACCTGTAGTCCTTCAATAGCCAGTTTGAGAATAGTTGGGGTGAGCTTGGATGCCTGTTTGAAGGAGAAGTTACTCCAGTCAATGATCAGAATGAAGCCATTGATCTGCAGTCTGGGGTCCTCAATCAACACTTCCAAGGACAACAGAATGGCTCTCAGGATGTCAGTGAAGGAGTTTCTAGCAAAGACAAGAGAAAAGAGCAGGCAGCTTTATCTTCTTCAAACCCATAAAATTGGATATGGCAATATGTACAACTTTGATGCTGATAAAAATACTTTCATCCACCCAGGGGAAAGCTGAATCATGGTGTGCTATTTTCGACTCAACAACAAGCTAGACCTTCCAAAGCACTTTAAATTAAATAGTGCAAAATCACTGTTTCTACATAATCACAGAGTATATACAGTACAGAACATTTTACCTTTGGCAACCTGAAATGGGGTTTCACCATCAATTGTATTCAATATTTTTGACTAGCATATAACAATGTAATTGGATTCCCCCTGAGGTTTTACATCTAATGTCACTAAAACTTTTCCCATCATTTTGTTTGTAAGACTTAAAATTAGAACAATGTGCAATAAGAAACATATTTTGGGATAAAAAGCATGACTTCAAGTGTAACCCTCCAACTTCAGTGCACACTGTAAGAACGAACGTGTCTTTGTGGAGATCAGGCTGCTGCTGGAAATGTGAAATTGCTTCGTGAATAATCTTAAAGATCCTTTAAGCTTCTGAGTTCAGAATTTACACATGTCCAGCTACAGTTAAAATGAAGTAGTTAAATCAGAACATATTAAATGTTATCCTAACCAGACACTGCCAAATAAATGAATACATGAATATAAAATGAAGGGAAATATCTGAATAAGCCATCTGTTGTTGTGTAATAGCATTTATTGAGTGGATCTGCATCCTTTATGAAATTGAATTTCCCATCAGGGGCATGTTTGTTAAAAGGTAGCCCTGCCTCCATGACAACCAACTAAACCTTTGACCTTTATTGTGCTGGATCAGATCTTCCTCAAAGGAAATTTGGCAGCAGGGCCTCCTCCAACACTCTATTGATCAATTCGCAGTTCACCACTGAGCAACATTTGCCTGTACTTTATTTGCAGTATATAGATGTTCAGTGGCTCAAACATGAAAATAGCCTTCTTCAAGATTTTAAATATGTTTGAACCTCAGTAGAATATGACTTAACATTGAAATAAGATCATAGACGGTTAACTATGACAGCTGTGTGAAATTCATTGCATAAACACAGCACCGCAATCTGACCAATGCTGCTTATACAGTGTTTTTCTACTCTGCTATGATCTAAAACTCTTTTAACTGTATCATTCCACTCTGGCTCAGTGTTTGTTCTGTTTGTCAGGGCAGTGGTAAGTTACTGGAAAACAAAAACAAACGTTAACACATTTTTCCAGGGGTGATTCTAAATTTTCAATTTAAAAAGCTTTTCATTCTATGGTATTTTTGTTATGGCTAACTACCATTTTGAGTTGACTTTTCAACAACGAGAGTGTTAAATGTATATGTGGAGTACTGCACAATGTGTAGAGCATGCTTCATGCTGGCATAATGCTTTCACTTTTGTGAAATGTCTTTTGACTGAGTTTCTCTGACATTATCCTTTCTGTAGCAAGTGACGTTGTTTTTCAGACATTCTGTATCTAACAACAACCTTTTCCCTAATGCCTGTCACATCTTAACAATCATGCCATGTTCTGTTGGAGACTTTCAGTACATTTAGGTGACCACTTCACTAAATGCATCATTTGTTATTTGTTTTTAATATTTAATATTTTGAGCTGCTTTATTATTTATGAAACTGTAATTATAGAAATCATGTGAACATAGTCCTTGCATTTTTAATAATCAAGGACCCACGTCATTTTCACTTGGAAAATGTGAATTTGACAATTTAATTCAGAAATCATGTTTATAGTGATGAGATACACCATTGCAATGTCCTTGTACCCTAATTTGTCCTAGATTATTTTTGAACATATACATATTCATACTGTACCTCTGCATCTCTGGAATTAAAAAAAATGTTACATGTAGAGGCTGATTCTGTGCTGAAAAGCAAATAGAAGGGAAATGCCAAATGCAGTGTTTCAGGTTGAGATCGCTCTTCAGAGAGAGGAAAGGAGTGATGGAAACAAAGCAAAGCAGGACAGAAGAGAGAGCATGTGAGAATGGGCACAGCAGGTGAATCTTTCCAAATGAATGGAAAACCTGGGGGAGGTGCTGGAATTTCTAAATGAATCAAACGTTCCATAAAGAAACTGGTCTATCATTGAGAGCTGGTGGGAGGTGTGAGCCAACCTTAAGGGTTGTCTTGGCTTCTGGCAGTGCTCTTGAACTAGTTCTGTGAAACCCTGTCAAAGGACGCAGGCAGAAACGTCAGTGTTATCATGGAGAGATCGGCGATCCTCACTGATCTGACATGTTTACTAAAATGGTTGGCCTGCCTCATCAGTGATGAAATGGCAGGGCACCTTCTGCACGCGATGCAAAAAATGAGATGGCAGGACACATGTGATGCTGTCTGGATGATCTTGAAATGGCCAGAGGGGCCGTGCATGTGTGTCCTACTTGATATATATTTGCAGAGGCTTCTGTTGCAGCAAAAGGTGTTTAGATTAGGTGGTTGGTAACATAAGGTGAATGGTTGGACTGAAGAAAAGGCTACAGTTGAGAGGTCATCCTGTAAAATGCAGAAATCTTCTTTGATGACCATGGGAATAGAAAGAGTGTTGTGGTGAAAGGGAAGCACAAAACTAACCTGCAGAGCAACAACCTCACAAGGAATTCTCTTCTGTTTGTTCTACTTAATGTCTCATCATAACCTGGCTCATTTGTTGATTGTTTAATTGTAAAGTGCCTTGAGATGATGTATCTCGAAAGAATAAGGTTGTTATTGTTGATATCATTTTAATCATGCTGTGGACTCCATTGTGAGATGTCCTTTCAAGAACGGATGAGGTTTCTGAATCAATAAGTTACCAACAATCAACAAAACGTTTCAGACAAATTGCCTCTTCTTGTCAGCACTGTTTAGTACGCTTTGCATTTTTGGCAGTCAAAAAATCTCCAGCGACGTTTTGCATAATGACTTAATGACTTTCTTACCTTTACTTTTCTCTCAGTGTTATTTTCTCAAAATGCTCTAAAATCGTCTCACCTCTTCCTCTGAACCTACTTTCATAAAAATTCAATAAATTAATGTTACCATTGTCTATTGCTCTCGTTTAATGTAAAATATTGTATTTTTTTGTTCAATTCCGTAATTTATTGTTCATCAGAAGTCTTCTAAAAAGCCTATACACAATGGTCAATAACATGATCTGCCCTGATAAAGACTGCTGTTATTATTTTATGAAGGTAATATGAAAATGAAACCTTTGTAACATTGAAATGTATGTAAATAAATGCATTTAGAATAAATGACAGGAGATCCTGCAGACAATTAGGCAAATTATTGAAGGATCCGCCTCACCTATTTCACAATAGTTTATGACAGACACCACATGCACTTTATTAAACGATTACATCACATTTTCAGTCCCACAAGTACCTTAATTAACATTCTGTTAGAATTGTTGAGCTTGAGGTAATCATTTGGGTTAACTATGTCAAACACCAAAGGCTTAATAGTTATCTCAGTGTATTTATCTCCTGTGTTGAAGAAGAAACATAACTCTAGCGTAAAGAATGCTTTCAGAAATACAGACAATTTTGACACATCCTTCCTTGCAACCCAGAATACGTAATAATTATTGTCTTTTACCTTCAGCCATCATTAACCTAGGATATATAGTTGTTAGAGAACAAAATATATGATTTAAAGAAAGTACAAGCTAATGTGCCATTACTGCACAAAACGTCTAGTCTCAATCTGTCTTGATAGTGGCAGATGTTAACAGACAGGTACCACTTTTAACTGAAGTGTCCTCCTCTTCAACTTTATAACCTCAGAAAAGCAAGAACCTGCATCATCTAGAGTTAAATCTTTGATAAAAACAATGTGGTTAAAGTGTAGTTTTCCTGTGTAAAATAAATAATGTTTACGTCAGACAAATTATATAATGAAAAAGGTAGCATGAAAGAAGACTTGTTTAAAAACAAAATCTTAATATAAAAGCAATGCTGTAATACACCCGTCTTAGTTCTGGTTCTTAGTGTTTCACTGCTTACTCAAAGAAAGGCTTACAGACTTTGTCACGTTTACTAACATTGGGTAAAACATTATTTTTCCTTTCTTCCTTGTTATCTGAGGGGAAGAAAATGCACCCTTTAGTCCTTTCACCTCTATCTGATTTCCTGCTTTCTTCATAATAAAATTAATTGGAGAAACGGGCAGCTTTTAAACCTGATTGCTCAAAAAAGGTGCTATTCAGAATGAAAAACTGTCATTTCACATTTGTTTTTTCTGACACCTGAATTAGCCATTGTTTAGATTCTCATATTATTTGTTATGGCATTCAGAAAATCAGTGTTAATGTTTGCTCTAAAACAAAGAGAAGGTTTAGAAATGAATAAAGAGTATTCACAAACTTTTTCTTGTATGAAAAGTTTTGTTTTTAAACATATAACATCTACTACTCTTCTTCACATATCTCCAGTATCCCCCACAGCTACTGGGACAGTACAGTCACAACCGTCCCAATAAGATCACAAGATTAACATGATTGATATGTTTGAAAATTGATATGTTTGATTGATAAGTCCAATATGACTCATGGATATATCTGGTTATAGTAGAACAATTCCTTTTTCAGCATGCATTTTCAGTTGGGTCTGGTCAGTCTAAGATTTCATACTATTTTTTCTTCTTTGTGGGTCAACAATAACAATGGTACGAAAAAGATATTGTGATTTTACCTGAATGCTCGTGCAATTTTTAAAGAAAAAATTATACACACACTTTTAGCACCAGTGTAATTTGTCACCATTATGAAACTCATAGTTAAACACAAGTAAGCAACGTTCATTGACAGAAGCTCCAGTGACTACAGAAAGTTAAAACTTCATTGGCTTGGATATTTTGTCTCTGGGTATGTGACCTACAGCTAGGATGACCTTCATGGCATAAAAATATTTCCCAAGAGACATCAGACCACACCACACAAAAAAAAAAAAAACAGTAATCAACTCAGCACCTTGAAAAATCAAACTCGAGATGATCCTTCAAAGATCATACATAGGCCAAATGGCCTTTTGTCAATTCGTAGCCTTTCTTAGGTTCATTCTTACTCTTACTGTCAGCAGAAATGCTTGAGTGTTCCTGCTGGGGCAGAGAGTAGGATCATACGTTCACTGTCCATCCTGATTAGAAACCTTACTTCCCAGTAATTTCTGCCTGTTGAGTTTCATGACTCATAACTATATATATATACATAGAGAAATTGTTGAAATGCTCACATTTTTATTGTAGAATGAGTACCAGAAACATATTAAATACAACGTAAACATTTACCTACTCTGGTCCCAGTTGGAAGCGAAGAGGATAAGTATTTTTCGGCCATATTGATCAGGGTTTTCCAAGACTCCTGGGAACCCATCCATCAACGCTCGTTTGATCCCCGGGTCATCAGCCTTAAAGCTTTTAAACATGTCCAGATTTTGCTGACGATATTGGAAATACTGAGCCAGCAGCTTGAAGGTCTCCATTTGATTAAATTTCCTCGCTCTGAGGAACCTTAAAATGAAAGCATCGTCCGTGCGCAGGAATCCTATGTCGGGTCTGGTGATGATCATGTCCCTGACCTGCTGAATATCCTGGTGGAGAGTGTCCGGGTTTTCATTCAGCTCCAAACGAGCTTTCTCTATGGTTTCAGGACTTAGACCAGCTTGTAAATGGGTCATTTTGTCTCTCATAGAGTAATTTCACTCATCCGTGTTCAATTTCCCAAATGTTTTCTTTGCTTGTTATTAAAATCCAAACATAGGTAAGGTTCTCGACATTGTGAGTGAGGATGATCTTTTTGTAAATCTCCCAGAAATGAGGAAAATCAGACGTTCATTTTCTCTGCACAAAGGTATTCGATTCTTGATATATCTGCTTCACACACATGCCTAAAAACTGGAGATAATGATAGTAAATATAGCATCACTTAACAATGATCATCTTTGAATGCTTAAATTGCTATGGTTAAAAAAAACACATTATGTATATGTCAAGGCCAAATAGTGGAATATTGCAGAATTCAGTTTCACCCCAGCCAGTTTTGGATTCTAAGAAAATCCAATTTTTATTAACTTAGGTTAGGGTGAGAATGAATCTGTCTGAATCAATACGATAGTTTAGGTTCAGATGGTGGTTCCTGAGCAGTCCATCCATTGAATCATTGAAAACAGTGATGACTCTAGGATTTGCCCAGGCACTCGTAATGAAACTAGCTTGACTCAGGCAAAAACTAGATATGTCGGACCACTGATTTTGGTCCTTAACATGTACCCAACACCAAAGAATTGAGAAAACAAAATATGGCTAATTCTTGATGCCACTGTAATTTGTTCCTTTATGGAAAGCAAGAAAAAAACTGTAATGTACAGTATAAGAAAACACAGGAAAGCAAGAATCCATGTTGGTACTTTCTGGGTTATCTACATGCTGTGTGTACAAATGATTCTAATTATACAGATCAAAGTATTATACACTGCTTATACACTGCTCTAACTAGTCCTTTGACCTTGAGCACAGTAAGTGTGATACAGAAAGAGCTTGACAGGAGAAGATTGATCACAACATAACAAACCTAAATCCAAAAGATGATTGAAAGATGAATGGAAAAAGACAATGAAACCCTATCAGTTGTGCAACAACCCACCATATGTTACGATGAATAAAGGACAAAATAAAATGCAAACAAAATCTTTCATTGTACTTTATTTCACTGTCACATTAAGAAGAATAAATTCTTTGTAAACAAATAATTCGACTACATTGGCTCTTCCTTTGTTAGTTTGTCCAGGTCCAGGTGGAATAACAGATGGATACTTTTTTCAATTAAATCATAAGTATTTTAAGATACTGTACTCATTCAAGAAAAGTTGAAATAACATAGGACTATCACTATGGTGATAACATGAGAATACCCTTATATATTTCAAGTAGTTTTGTAGCATTATATATTAAAATGATTCATCTGTGCAAGCCATTTAAAATAATGGCGATGCCTGATTTTGTCACGGTACTTTACTTCCTTACGTGTCCATGTAATTTACGGTACATTATCATTATGAACAGGTTTTACTTTAAAAAATATAAAAAAGCGTATTATTCCAATTTGTAAGTTTAAGACACATTGTGAGAAAAGCGCAAACAAGTTCCAGTGGCAGATGATAAGAAATTCGACCCACTACTGTAGTACCGTCTGAAATTGTTTAGTGTCCTTCTCTAGACCTTATCGTCCGAATGTATACATATTCTAAAAACACAAAAATACCCGCACGGTTATTGCGTTACTTGACATCTGCTTCGTGGTAGAAAAATATGAGACTACCTTTGTGAAGACGACTTTATGCTGAAAATGACACCGGTATGATCTGCACCATCCTCTGAATATATGCATCAGTTGCTACAACTTTTCTTTCTGTTCCATAACGTGTACTACTCTATGTGTCTTATCACTTCCCGTGCGTCCAATAAACCTTTTCTTTCTAATTTAGCGATGTTGCACAAATGCTTAAAAACACAACAATAAGATAACGAGATATAAAGAACGATGCAGGCATCACTCTGAGTGGAATGGAGGAGACGCGGACGGAGGGAATGGAAGAGTTGCAGATGCGGTGCAGATGAGAGCTGTCCACACAACTAGGTGCTGAACGACCCTGCAGTCAGACAGCAAATACTGTGCTGCATTCGTGCAAACATATTTTATCGTTATAACCTGGTCTTCTTACCTCATGGATTATCGGTTCTTTGTTTAATTGCTTAATATCGTTCTTAGTCGATTGGAATTCCCATTATTCAATGAAGAAATGAAGATTACTTTTTTCCTTGACGTTAGATTTTTCCAAGGACGCTGAAGTATCCTACCAAACCCCTGATGTGATTCTGAAACACTAGTAGGCGTGAGCTATCCTTCAGTCCTCCCATATGGAGTCAAATTTCTTCTAGGTCCTAAGAATGCTAGGAGGCACACGGTTCCTTAAGGTTATTAATAGAGATTATTTACGCTTCATAGTGACAGAAAAATAACACGTATATGTTTTTTTGTCGATTGTCAATCGAAACATAAATTCATCCCCCATTATGAAATCAGTGTAAGCATTTTTAAAAAGGAATTAAATTTCGCTTTAAATGAAACTTGAATGACCGTGTGCGATAAACATAATTGATTCCAGGTGTGGAGGTAGTTATTTAACAATTGTGTTGTAAGATGTACATACTGTACATATAGGAATGACCGAAAATCTGAATTATAAAATGAGTCGTCAAGCAGCAAATTCCTCACGATATATTTTCCAGACGTAACCAGCAGCTCGCGATCATCAGAGTTGTTCAATGTATTGGTAACGCGAGCATTTGTACCTGAAGAGGTTTAAAAATGATTTTTATATTTTTGATTCAAATAACCGACATGAATACAATCAGCTTTGTTAAGGAAAAGATATATAATTGAAATATTTATATCAGCAAGACTGAAGGATATCGGGGGGCAAAATACATGACCGAGAAGTTCGTTATCTTTGTATTTTAGTTTATTAAGAACGAGACACAAATCTCTTTAAAAAAAACATTGTATTATCCATTATCTCTCGAAATTTGTTTCACGTTTATTTTAAAATTTCAAAAGTGCCATGTAGTTATGGTAAAGACATTTTATTTTACAAGAAACGAATTTTTCTCAACTATATAGTGTTTATTAGCAGTATTAAAATATTTTAAATGCAGCAATTTATCCACGATTTTATAACTGTAGCACTGCGAATCCATACTGTATAGCAATATATGTTAATAGTGTTGTGATTATTATTTTTGACGACAACTAATGATTAAAAGAATAAACAACTGACCCCCTTTATTAAGGAGGCATTTTCTAATACGCCAACAGCTGATGTGCACCAGTGATTTAACTATTCTTCACTTTAGCTTCATTAGAGACATCTGATGAAGAACTGTTTCAGACTGAGTTATAGATCAGGGAGGTTATTCTAATTCATCTATAGAATTATGTCCCTAACTTATAACTCCAACGTGTATTAAAAATGTATTCTAATCTTTTTAGCTGATGCTTTTTTTCAAGGTAATTTCACATTCAAACAGCGACTGAACTGTGAAAATGTACAAAGTTGAAAAGTCTCACAGACTGTGTGGCCAGGCAGCTCAGAGTGTCCAAGGACAGCAGCAGTAATGTCATGTTTTCCAGATGATAATGCAGATCCCCCTCATCCTCATGAGTACAATTCAGAAATGTGATGGTTAAGAGGTTGATCTGGTAGCTGGAGTCCATATTGATGGAGAAACAATACCCTCGTCCTTGTTCTATGCCCTGGTCATGTGTGTGCTATAAATGAAATCACGTTTTTGCCAGTTAATGTTAGAAAGCACTTACTTAGGAGTACCTATTGTGAATGCATCACATTACTTTTACCATGACTTTCAAACCTTCTTGCTGTATAAACAAATATCTCTCTCAACTTAATCTTGGCAGAATTTTCTTACAAACTATAAACTAATATCCCCAAAGTACCATGGGATGGTACTAGCCAAAGCAACAGAGAAAGTTATACTAGACAAGTTGCTACTTCTTAGATATTGCCTTAATGCATTTAGATCTTTGTCTCAGGAGGATTACCCCATAGATGCTTTGAGAAAACCAAGGGCTCGTGCAAAATATGGTACAACAGTGCATTGGCCATCTGGTCTTGTGCTGTTGCAATTAATTGGGAATGTGTGTATAAAGTATTCTTGCAGCTGTCTGGCCCCACCTGCCACTGAAAGGTATCAAGCTGGGCTGAATTTGAATCACGTTTTAAATGTTTCCTGGAAGAGTAGCCCTACGGTTTTGGAAATCAATTGAGCTCAGGAGTCCCAAGGGCTGGAGAAGACATAAATCAGTACCCTTTTCCTAAGTATTGAGGCTGGGAGGTAACTTCTCGGTTTAAGGTGTCCTCATGTGGTCTATGAGGAGGAGATACCTCCAAGCAAGCAGCATAAAGGCCTTCTTCTTGTTCTGTGGATGTGTGATGAGAAATCAGAATAATGGTGGATGAGATGTCATCATACATATGACGGTGAGAATCTTCACAATGGCTATGCTTGGAAGTGCAAATGGCTTCAATGATCAGTGAAGGATGCACAAGTGCTCAAATTCCTAGTGGTGGGACAGATACAACATGCTTAGACAAGAGGTGGGACGTGATAATACAAGAGGTGTGGTGTCAGAATTATAATTTAGGACTAGGATTAGTACTATAATTTGGACATCAGGTAGGACAGGTTACTGTTACTGTCTAGGAAGCAGGGCCTGTAGAGAATGATGAATGTGAATTCAGGGTTGCAACTAGGAATGGTTACATTTTGACTCAAGGTACACATTTTGTCCTATTCATCCCTGCTGTACAATGCACCCCCTGTTTACTCTGTCTTCTGTCTGCTTGGGTAGCAGATTCCCTGTTTCATCCATGTTCTGTCTGGCGCCAAAGCATTTCCCAACCTCCCACCTCACTGATTGCCTTTCCTTGATCAAGCCAATTGTCACGGATGTTGGAAGGGACCAACCGTGGAGAGGCAGGAGAGCGGAAAAAGACCCACATGCGTAGCGGCGGAACGGGGAATAAGCCCGGGCTCAGCAGTTCAGGAGTCCAATAGAAACCAAGGCCCTCAGGCAGTGGACGTGGGGCGCCCCGGATTTCAGGCGGGTCTCAGGACATCCGAACATCAATGCTGAGCGAAGCAGAATAAGTGACCTGTAAATATATAGCCCCAGGGAGAGAGAGACACCGGAAGGACAAGCAAAGCACAGGAAACTAGGGACAGGACAGAGTAGGAGCGCCCTCTGGCTGCAGAGGGTGTGACACCAATGGACTTCACAGTGTGTCATACAGATGGGACACTTCCCAGATCAACACCGTGTCGTAACTTCTGGAAGATGGGTGACCGAATTGCTTAAACTAAAGCATCCCAGGACTGACCTAATCTTTGCTGTCAACTATGCTAAGAGCCAATAATTACATAGAACAATCTTTGATTTTTTGGCAACAAGTTCTGATTAAAGTTCTTCAATATCAGTGTGACTGAAAAAAGACACAATGAGCATTAACAAGCTTCAGTCATGTCCTGTCATTTACCAAACTGCTTTATACTATATGGTTCTCTTTTTTGTGTCCCAGTCCTAAACTTGTAAAGTAGTACTGTATACAGTCTATTACATTTTGTGAACATTGCTCAGCAACATTTTGGATAAAGCGATTCTATTATGATTTGATTAATACTGTATAAGGAGAAAGACATACTGTAATACAGCAACCATTGTTGGTGAAACATCAACACACATCTTATTCTTCCATAAAATTAACTTCAACCATTCCCCCTAAAAAATTATTCTTACCCTAGACCCTGTAATTTCTCCATACTCGTCCTTTTTCTATAACCCTACATACAGCTCTAAATGCAAGGCTGACATTATACCTAATCCTGTATCTGCTCCTAAGCTTTCATACCTACCTTGCCCAAAAATGTTTCCCTCAAAATGGCTTAAGCCCAAAATACTGCCTTAACAGAAACCTAAAACATTAAATCTGTGCCTTGTCCAAAACCCATAAGCAAATGCTAGTTTGAACCCTCACCTGAAGATCCTTATCACAATCCTACACCCAGTCACATCCCCACACATTAATCTAATCGTGTATCCTAAACCTCTCACCCTTGCTAAGACTCAGTCCTGCTTTGTTTTTAACCATGAAATGAATGATAATCCTGATCTTATTCTATTTAGGTGTTAACACATTGGAAGAGGAGAAGGGACAGATGCAACTAGAGAGCTAGGAGGGAATTAAAGACTTTTTCTATCTGTATCTTTCGAATATTGTATACTATTTTCTTCAATGGGGTTTTTTGTTCTCTAAATCTTACTGCTCTAACGATTGTATGTGATCTTTATTGAAAATTAATAAAAATAAAAGGAAAAAACAAATGTAATATATTTACAATATATGTGCCTCTCAACTTTGTATTGACAATGGGTTTTTTCATTTGTAATTGAAAAAAATTACATTTATCTTTAGAACAAGTATAGTAGATTCTGAGAACATTCTGAGTAGCATTTTAAAAACCATTACACACACTACTTAGAATTCTTACTATACAGTGTTCAATTCTGCTATAAAAACTAAAAATAACAGCTATACTGTAAAACACATCTCCAAAGCACGCTTACATGTGTCAGCCTGGCCATGGGCGCCCTCCAGTGGTAAAAATCAGAAAGTAAAGATCTACTTACCTCAAATAGAGGCTGTCAACAGCTTTCACAGCTTTCACACAGGTTTTCAGGGATAGACTGGATCAGAACAGCTCGAGGATTCTGAATCTGTCATTGATTCTGAAGCTTTCAGAGCATGCATTGTGCTTATGTGGTGTGTTTTTGGTTAATTTGTCATTATTGGATGTTTTTCTTTATTCTACCTGTAGCTCATATAAACAGCGAGTAGATCAACTTATTTTTTCTTTCAGGTGGGTAGCTGCGTCAGCATGCGTAGGCTGCAAAGGAACAAGTAATAGGTTTATTCCATGCTGAAAAAAAGAAGAAGAAAGAGAACACAACGTTTCGGCCGTGGAGCCTTCTTCAGGTGTCACACCTGAAGAAGGCTCCACGGCCGAAACGTTGTGTTCTCTTTCTTCTTCTTTTTTTCAGCATGGAATAAACCTATTACTTGTTATTTTTTCTTTGATACCTCAGGAACACCCTCAATCCACAGGTTAAGTGCTTTGACAGAAAACTGGTCACAAGCAGCCCATAATTAGAGAAAACTGCTGTATCACAGGAGCATTTCACAATAAGGGAAAAAGATTGAATGAAATAAGAAAATTTAAAATA